CAAGAAGTGAGAAAGACTCGGCTGAATCGTGCGCCTCAAATCACCTATTTTAATTAAAGAAACACGAGTGATGGTTACGCGAACCCCTGTTGGCATTAGCGACAGACTCGCCGTTTGCCCGTCACAACATCTAAATAGAAGCCTTTTAAAAGTACAAAAAAAAACAAAGGTTGAGATATATAAAACATTTTAAGGCTTAAAGGAAAATAATTCTTATTATGTCTTTCTATTGTTTCTTATTAACAAATAATTATTACTATAGGTTAATACTTTGCGCGATACTATACAAGCTATGTAATATAAATATTTTTTTTTGAATCTAAGAAACATGTTATAAAAGAATAACAAAAATGTTTAAATCTAAAATCAAGGTTTTTAAGATATTTGTTTAAAATAAGAATTTCAAGTAAAAATGATTTACTCATTAATTGCATCTCATTATACAGTATTATAATATTTAATATAAAAATTTTGCCTATAATACATGTACATAAGTAACATTTAATTTATATAGTTAATAATAATACTTTATGCTTTGATAACTTATTTATTTCCTTTCATTTACTTAATCTTATTTTTTACAAATACTGTATATTTATTTCATCTCATGTTTCAAACCTATCCCATTCACTTAATATTTGTAAATTTATTTATTTTACTTACAATTTACAAACTTATTCAATAGATTTTATGCGCTCATTTATTCTATTATATTCATTTTAAAAACATATTCGTTTTATTTTACAAACATATTCATTTCACTTCAGATTTTAAAAATGCATTCATTTTATCTTGCATTTCTCAAACGTGTCAATTTTCACCTCACATTTTATGAAACTAATTATTTTGCTCACTCATTTTACTTCACACTTCACACTTAATTTTACATTGCACAAATATACCTATCTTGCTTAACATTTTTTTGGGCTATTGATTTCACTTCACATCTTACATTTCACAAACATACCTATTTTCATGAATCAATTCACTCCATTTCATGTTTCACAAACCTATTAATTTTACTTCAATTCCTTTACGTTTTATTTTATTTTACAGTTAATAAATCCATTCATTTTACCAACATTTTGTAAACCTACCACTTCATATTTTTGTACCCATTGTTGTTAGAGTCTGTCGCTAAAATGACTCATTCTTTCGTGACTATAATCCGAACGATCGAATCCAGGCACTAAATAAGGTAAGGCTTTATCTCTGAGGCAGGTTACAATTTGGCAGGTTTCACGCGCTTGCCAATCTTTTATCGACCATCTTTTCCTAGGTGGTCTCAATATTACAAGTGTCACTTTCTACTACGGGTAAAGGGAACTCGGTTTCTTTTTTAAAGTCTACTTTGTTGTAGTGGCGATACTCTTAGTTTATGCTTTATGGGATGTAAAGTTATTGTGCGAAGTTGTAACATTGTGGGGGTGTAATCGCGAGTCAGTCGCTAAGGAAGACAAGATTTTGCGTAACCGCGGATAGGGTGAGTAATACTTAAGGTGAAGGAGGCGTGTTTTGATCTGGTTGAGTAATTTAATGTTATAACGGGTATTGTTCTCCTTTATTAATGCTTGTCTCTTTCTTTTTATACATCTCTTTTTATTTACAGAGACTAGTGCGGCTATACTTTAATAACAATAAGAATATGCTAAGTCTCTATTACATAAGTTACTTTTCACAATCACTTCCTTCTTTTCCCCACATTAGATACGTAATTGTGCATCGCCAACCAAGCGACGATCAGTCACGTGATGTGCGTCGCGTCTCAACCTACCCCTTACAACATTTATAACCTCTTTCGCAGGAACATCTAATTATTTAACTATTGTCTCGCTTAATTCGAAGCATCCATTATTTTTTTGTTTTGTAACGATTATAAAGTGCGAGAAAGCAAAAGAGCGTTCCAAAACTCTAACTCTAACTGATTATGATTGACTATGACTGATTACAAACTATGGAAAACTATTCTATATATGCTTCATTGACGCGTCCCTATTGTTTTCACAACACGATACTCCACCTCACATTTTAAGATCAATTCAACTTAGCTTATTTTTTGTAAACATATTCACTTTGCATTACATTTCACAAGTCTAACTATTTTACATATTGTAAGGGGTGAATTAAAATAATGATAGGATCTTAAAAGACTGTATGACTCCAGTAAGTGCCACGATAAAGTAGTTATAATCGCACAAACGGCACAATGGAGATAATAATGTAAAATGGATCGTACGCGCCGCGAAACGAACAATGATACTGTGCCGTCACGTGATCTATCCACACTGGATAGCGCGAGATCCGATCCTGTCAATATACTGTAATGACTGTGAGCGACGACAATGACATTGTAACAATTACTATATAATCATTATATAATATACAAGGGTATATCATCCTATATTTAGTATAGTCACTTTATTTTATGGAATGATAAGAAAATGTATAAATAAGTGAGACAATGTTATTAAATAAAGTGGCGAGCAGTGCGAGAAGTGAAAAGAACTCAGTCAAGTGGCGAGCAGTGCGAGAAGTGAAAAGAACTCAGTCAAGTCGTGCGCCTCTGATCACCATTTTTCTATCACAAACTAATCAGTAACGGTTACGCGAATTTCTGTTGGCATTAGCGACAGACTCACCGTTTGCCCGTTACAATATAATTTACCATTATTCCACGAAATAGTAAACTCGATAGTGTAAACATTTTATCTTTATTTATTGTAGTATTACGCGATATTTTAATTAACAGATAGATACGTACCATCCATATATTCATAAATTAATTAAGTCGCGGTTTATACGCCATATAAAAAAGATTCGATTTCACACCGCGCACCTGTATGGTTATTATTAAATTTTTAATTTCACATTATATTTCCGGAATTATTACTTGAACCGAAAAGAATCAGTGTCTGATATGTATTTGATCACGTGACTCTTCGAATTTGTTCTATTATCAATACGCTTTATTTACAAAGAAATCTGTAAAATGCATTATTAGACCCAATTTAATTTTCGCATTCACATATGCAAGGATAAGGTGATATGTGTACGCCCAAATACTAAATGTTACTTATCTTCGTTTTAAACAATATGTATTTTACGCATAATGTAGGATCACAGGATCAAAAAATCTGTCCTTAAAAGCATTTACAATAAGTAGTTTCTTCATTGAGCTCAAGGACAGAGACTACTTCGTAAACAAGGTCACACGTTGAATGTAAAAAATGAATGTGTGACAATCATATGTTTATCCCAACAACATGCCATCAATTTTTTGCCAATGAGGTTAAAGATCTTGCATCTAAAATAAATTCCTATTTCTATTGTAACTTTCCTTATAGGCACTCGTGCAGGTCGACGGTTATCATGCATTATAGTTGTGACCTTGTTGTTACGGTAACTCACCGAGATTTTTTTTTTAAAAAAACTTACATTTTAAATTCAATAATTTCCTATTGCTATTGTAACTTTCCGTATAGGTACTCACAAAGGTCGACGGTTGTCATGCATTGCAGGTCAACTCTTGGTAATTGCAAATCTTGGTGGAACAGATTTTTATGCCACAATAAAATGTTTATTTTCATAATTAATTATGGAAACAAATATAGTAATCGTTCCACTACAAATTAAAATTATCAAGAGTCGACGTGTAATGCATGACAACCGTCGACCTTCTTGAGTGCCTACGGTATAAGGAAAGTCACAATAGCGATAGGAATTTATTAACCTCATTGACAATAAGGATGAACAATACTGATGCATTGTTATTAAATTGCCAGACGTCTTTTGCATTTTAGTTTACATTCAGCGCGTAACCATATTTTGTGCCTCAAAAAACTCGTATAGCTTATTGTGCTTCAATAAAAGCTTTTGACTAATTATACATAGACAAATAGAATGGGAAACATAAAATCAGAAATTCCTTTTTATATAAATAAACCACTTGCTAATCGTAAAAAATTTTAACATTCTACAGAAAATGAACGAAACAGAAGAAATAACTCCCGAAATAAATTCGGAAAAAATAACTCCCGAAATAAATTCGGAAAAAATAACTCCCGAAATAGGTTATGAAAAGGCAATTTTAAGTGAAAAGAATATAGTTCTTCCTCCCTCATATTCAAGCTCCAGTATCCAAAATCCACATAATAATAAAGACATATCAAGTGTTTTTTGCTCACCAGACTTACGGCATGTTGCAACTGCTAGTTTGAAGGATCGTTCAGTTTGCACGTGGGAAATCCAAAAAGGCAAAGATGGAGAACCTATATTACATAAGGTTGATTTACTTAAATTTGACAACATAAGTTTAAGAGAACCAATAAGGATCTCGAATTTCAAGAATATTCTTATAGGAAAATGTAAAAAAAATTCGTTAAAACTCAGTAAGTATGGAATTAATTTTAAAGCTGTTATTGCTCCTTTTTTTTAATAGCGCCCTTAATTATTCAATAGAAATCAATGTTGAAAAGAATACCGAGAATTTCAATAATACCGAGGTAAAGATCAATTTTAATGAGCAAGAAATAAGTGAAATCGAAAATAAAGAAACCGAGAAAAAGGAAAAAAAAAACAAGAAAATACTAAATGAAAAAAAAGATTTAAAAGGAAAAATTGATTGCACTGAATTTATTAAAGATGAAAAGTTGGCAGTCATCGAGGGAAATCCAGCCTATCGGGTCCACATCTTTTCTAAAGAAATAGATCGGTGGTACCGCACGGATATCATCAAACTCGCAAAATATAGACGTTGCACTATTTCTCGAGATAGAGTATTGATTCTCTTGGATGTACCTTTTGTGATCATGCAATGGAATTTGTTAACAAGAGAGTTAGAAGCACAATACGAATTAGATTGGAGCTTGGCGTCTTGGGAATATATTAGCATGGAATTAAACTATGATGCTAAATGTTTAGCAGTAGCTGGAAATCTGAAAGAAACTACAGAATCAAAGGTCTATTTTTATTCAACAAAATCTAGAACAATGGTAAAAGATGGTAAGTACCATTTGTGTACAACTAAGCTATCTAATTTTATTGCTAACGTATAAATTTATTTAACAGTATTGTTTGAGGAAAATTTCGCCAATATTTCTGGTACATATTAAAAATACCATTTATGTCTAAGTAAATTATTATCTATTTTTATTACTAACCCATACAATTATTTAATAGATTCATCAGATAAATCCAACATGAAATTTATTGCATTAGCGGGGAAGGAATATTTATTCGTCTATTTTGTGCAAAATGAGTCCTACGTTATTAATCTAGGAACTTTTTTGAAATCAAAAATTCCATTGTTTGATTTTACTGACGGAAAAGATTTTATTATCTCTGGTCGCTATCATTCACAAACTATTCCTCCAGACGATCCTCTTCCTCTTTGTGATGTAGACAGTTATATAATACGATCTAAACGAATTAAGAAACCTGATGATAAACAAAAACCTATGTATATACAACAACCTATGGATGTACAACAACCTAAACAACATATACAACCTGATGATATTATAGAAATCCAAAGATTATCTCTGAAATTGGCGGATAAAACACTCAGCGAATTTAAGGAAGAGAATGAATCTAATCAACAGTCTAATGGAAAAGAAATAAAAGGCATAGTAGAGAACTATTGGAAAAAGCGTAAATCAATCAAGGAATTAGAACTACCGAATGTCGAACCAGCAAACATTGAAGGTCAGCAAAAAGATCAAAATGGCGAACCAGGTCAAGAACTAGCAGACCTTCAAGGTCTTAAATACAAATGGGTTGTTAGGGGCTGGAAGGAGGGCAATGAGACATTCATAGCTGAATTAACAGCTAAAGAAAAGGGAGCGCAAATCGGAAAAGTAGACGTTTGTTTACGCGCGTGCGATAATAAAATCTGTATAGAGTTTGAAATAGTCAATATGGATGATTTGATGTTAATTTCCTCTTCTGGAATACAAATCTGGACAATAAATGACAAAGATATTAAATTACTTCATTATTGGGCTCTTTGTGATGAGATTTATGAAACGACATCGGCGCAAATAGCTATATCTAAGCAACTTAAAATTCTAAAGGAAAGACTTCATTCTAATGATTTCAAAAATTCATTACCATTTCCGTACTTCGACCAAATTGTCAAGCACCACAGAATAGTGTATAGAAAATTAGTGGCGTCTCAAGCGAGTACTGTTTCGAGTAATTTTCCGATTATTGGTCCGATTATTGGTCCGAGTATTGGTCCAAGTACTGGTCCGAGTATTGGTCCGATTAGTCCGACTGATTCGAGTCAGGATACAAGGGAGTTTGACCATCAATATTTGAAAGATACATATTCTAAGGAGAATATATACAAAGGGGAACTGCTCCGAGGCATTATTCAAGCGAAAGATGTTGAACAAAGTAAGGAGAAATTTACAGAAAGCCTCAATAATTTATCTAGGTTTAAAGAATTAAAAATTTTTTCCGAGTCTATCGAATTATTCGGTCTGGCCGCTTATAATCTTTTAGAATTAGAAGCACTCGACAAAAGTTATGGATTCACAGAACGTTTTTTATCCGCAACCGCATTATTAATGCCGATTAATTATGAACGTTATATAGATAACAAATCTACTTCAATTTATACAGACCCTTATATAACTTTACCATATTCACCTAACACATCACTTTTTGATCGCATATCTTTCTTGCCAAAAAACAATCATATCTTATGTCCCCAAAAAACCGTTAAATTAATGATACCCTTAGTAAATTTTGCCACCTATCCTAAATACTATTCCATTTATAAAGAGTTGATTTCTCCACACGGCAATCCTTTTACATTTTTGGATTCTCCAGAGTATTATAAATGGCCGAACATGAAAGCTCTTGTCAACTTCAAGTGGAATATGTATGGGAAAAAGTATTATTATTTGATGTGGGCAATTTACTCGATATTTTTACTATGTTTTGTCATAATCGCGACAATTCCGTCAACGGATATCTCATGGAAATACCAAGAAGCTCTTTTGGTGACAGTAATTTTGCTGGGAACTTTTCTGTTTTCTTTTGAAATTCGTGAATTTGTATACTATCCAAAACAAGATTATATCAAAAGCCCTTGGAACTGGTTTGGTTTGTATTATCAATATTCAATGTTTAATATTCAATTGATTAAAAAAGTTCTGACTTAGTTTGATTTACAGATGTTGCCGCAGTACTTTTTCCAATAATAACCTCGTTCATATGGCTTATTGACACAAACCCGCCGCCGTTATCGATTATCGTTATATCAACACTTGTACTTGAACTCAAATTTTTGATTTATCTTCGTGCCCTTGATCATTACGGAATATATTTTGCAATTATGGTCGGAGTAATAAAAAAAGTTTATTATTTTATTATAATTTTGGGAATTATAGTTTTAGCATTTTCCCACTCTTTACATCTCTTATTAAGACCGACCACCGAATATTCTTATAATGAACCAAGTTACAACGGTGACGAAAACAATCCATGGAACCTTGCTTCAAGATATCAATCCATTTCCATCGATGGAGTTATCGGAAATCAAACACTTATTGCAACTCCAGATGATAATACAAACCCATTTTCAGTATTCGATACTGCTCTATTGGCAGTTTATTTCATGTTAACGGGTATTGTATGATGTAATTATATGTTATTAAATTAATTACCGTACTAATATTTTTAAACTTTTATTAGGAGACAGAAGTTCGGTTGCGTCATGGAGTCTGAGAAATGATCCGACTTTAGCGTTGATATTAGTTGTGTTTTCATTTTTCACAGCAATTTATTTAATGAATTTGTTGATTGCATTGCTTAATACGGCAATAGAAGATACAAATAACGAGGAGTCGCTTTTACACTTAAGGGGAGAGGTTTGATATTTTTCATTTATTGATGATCCAATAACATTATGCTATGCATAAATTGACATAAATTATCGCTTATAGATTTTGGCGGATATTGAACTTTTTTGGATGCTCCCCCATCAAAGAAGAAAGGATAATTGGTTTCCGGATATTTTGTACTTGTTTCATAAATACTTCTTATGCATTCTAGAATATTGACTTCATTAATTTCTAATGAGAAAATTTTTTTCTAGATATTATGAAGTATCTGTGGACGAACTTGCCAAATATGTTAAGAAAATAGAAAATGAGGAATGTGAAATCTTAAAAAAATTTTTACCCACTGTTAAAAGCATTGTCGGACATAAAATCAGTGATGAGGAAAAGTTTGCAGAAATTCATAAAAAATTAGATGCCATAATCCAATCAATTACTACAAAGGATAAGGACAAAAGTAAGTAGACGCCATAAGCATATATATATGGGTAATTATTTTTGAAGGTGAACCAAAATCAAAGGTATATATCTATTACCCTAAAATTATAACCCT